TGGGCTCTTAAAGGGCTCTTAGGATCCTTTCTAAGGGGTTTGCAGGCACTGGGGGGTCTCTGTCAGCCCATGCCAAGGGCAGGTGAAGGATCCCAGGGCAGAGCTCTGGAGGAGCTGGGCTGAGGCACTGCCCATCGCTCCGGAATCCTGCACATTCCCACAGCAGCTGCACTCCCCTTCCAGAGCTCAGAGTACAACAGCAGCCCCTTCACGATTAAAACACCTCCAGATGAACCCCCTCAGAGTCCAGGAGATCCACAATGGAATTCTGCTGCTAGAAAATCTGCATCACCTGCTGCTCATTTTGACTGCTTGTACAAAAGTTGTCCCAGACTTAACATGACACTGGAGTGCTCCTATCTGAGCTCCTTCAGCATCCTCAGCTGGGTAACACTGTGTGCAGTGTTAATTTCATAATTATTATTTTTAAAAATGTATTTTCCATAAAATCCAGAAGCAGCACACAGAACTGCCTTAGAAAAGTTGGGGAAAACTGATCAGCACCGATTCCACTTTTCCATGGTGACATGGACTGCAATGCACAGAAGTCAAAGCCCAGGAGCAAAGCTCCAAACACAAAGGATAAGTCAGAGAAGGAAAACACATTTAATTCAGCTCCAAACAAACAGGATAAGTCAGAGAAAGAAAACACATTTAATTCATGTTTTCCTTTGCTTTGTCCACACATACAGCCAGCAACATCTTCCCTCACAGACAGCTGACATCAAGACTCAGCTGAAACATTTCCAGTATCATTCCTTGGTGTATGCAAGAGGATTTCCAAAACTGTGAAAAATAATTAATAATTTGGGATTTGGGAATTTCAGTATGAAAAGTCTCTAAACAGACTCCCTTTTCCTACAGAGTGAGCTGAAGCACCCATGAGTTTTTATTGTAAACTCCCACTGATTTCCACGCCGTGCCCTGAAAGAGTCCTGCCACTGAAGCAGGTTCACATTCTAATGGGAATTAAATTAAATTCCCAATTAAAGCTCTGAGGTATCAACTGCTACCTCCTCCAAGAGAAGCAGGTGACCTCCAGGAGTCCCCTCCAACCTGAATTATTCCATGAGCATGTGGAAAGCTGCTTTTCCCCGATGTAGGACTGGTGTTAAGGATGCCATTTAGCATGCTCAGAGATGAAGTCTGCAGCAGGCAGGATGGAGTTAGAGGAATGCAATTTAAAACACATTTTCCTTGCAGATAATGCGATGTGTGGTTCTCCCAGGAGGAACACTCATGACCTATTCCAGTCACAACCCTTATTTATAGGTGGTGCTGGAATGAATGAAACCTGCTGCTCCGTAGTGAGGAATTTTTGTGATGCAATAACTGAAGCAGCCATCACAGAAAATTAGGTCCCTGTATGATTCTGCATGAAAACAACTTGAGGATTCTGTCTGAACTAAGTGATTTACAGCAGAGAAATATTTCTCCCTGCTACCCAGAGGGCCCAAATTGAATCTTGGATGGAGCAGCTGCAGTTCTGAAGGACTGCTCTGTGTCAATCCAGCACTTGACAGCAGCTGAGCTGGGAGAAGGAGCAATCCTGGTTTTGCCCTTTTCCTGCAGATTGGCACAAGCACTGCTGAATCCAATTCCAAGCCTAGAACCAACCTCCAATGTTTATGCCAGAAACTCTGGGGAATTGTTGAGGAAACAGCAGATTGTGAATAAAGATACTGAGCCCACAGGAGAGAGCTCCTGGGCTCTCTAAAGGGAGCAGCTGGGGCAGGGTTTGCCTGTCCCTGGTGGGATGAACCCCCCTGAACCACCAAACCAAAAAGCTCAGGTGCACAAAACTTGGTGAAGAAATGGGAGACTCAAACTGCAAAGCTCAAGAGAGATTCCGGCTCTTCAGGCAAGGTCCGAGGAACAGAGTAGGAAAATTCAAGATACAAACTGAGAAATAAATGGCAACCAAAAAGCTGCCTCTAACTAATTCATAGAGAAATCCAAGTGAAATTGGTTTGCACGAGCTTGTCAACTCAAAAAGGTGGAGAAATCCTGGGCAGATGTCCTCAGGATGGCCTGTGTGTTTAATTATTTTGGGGAGTGAGTGCAGTGCCACCACCATGCTCCAGCCTTTGATAAGAAAGCTTTGAAAATATTTGGGCAATTTAGCTATTTTAAAATAGTTTGCTTGCTTTGCAGTCCTCCCTCCCTCACCCTCTGCTATTTAAACAATGAAAGCTCAGAGGTACTAATAGTTATTCCTGAGAAATGCTGAAGAATGGGTGAGGTGACAAAACACAGCAGTCAAGGGAATAAAGAAAAGAACTTAGTGGGATATTTTAAAGAAATTTTGTTCTTTTAAAATTTATGGGAAAACTAGAACAAATTCTCTGTATTCTGTAAAGAGAACAAGCAAAAGAGTTTGACATTTTACACATGAAGACTGAATTTACTTCTGCGAGGAAGGAGAGGGACCAAAAGCAACAGACAGCAGTAACTTCTGCAGAAATTCCTGCTGGCTGGAGGATACCTTGCACTTACTTCAGATACAAAATCAGCCCCCAAACTGTGCTCAGAGTGTTTATCAAAGGTTGATGGGCAGGATGGGGCTGCACAAAGTGAGGCTCCGCAGGGGCTGGTGCTATTCAATATTTTCATTAGTGACCTCATTGACAGCATGGATTTTGCTTATTCCACCTGCAGACAGCATCAGCTTGGCAGCGAGCTGGGGTGCAGGATCAGAATCCAAAATGATGGTGACAAGGCAGAGAAGCAGCAAGAAAAACAATGTTCAAAAGGGGCAAGTGCATCAAATGTCACCGAGGCAGCAGCATCTAACAGGGCACCATGAGGGAGGGACCAGAGGAGCAACAGCTCTGTGTAAAAGAACTCAGGGATGGTTTAGTCCTTCTTCCATCAAAGCTGGACCTCAGACGTGGAAGAACAGCCAAGAACCAGCCCCAGGTACTGATGTTAGCTTTGGCTGACAGAAGAAAGCAGATCCTACTAAATGACTAAAATAATTCTCCATTTCTGCTTAAAACGCCTCCTAAAGACAGACATTCCAATCTAAATGTCACTGTATAGACACCTCTGCTCCCCAGGTCCTGCACTGCTGCCAGGGAGGGGCCACAGGAGGAGAAAGTTGGGTTTGGTGTCTGTGAGGTGCTACAAATAATGGATTTCAGACAGTAAGAACTGGTTAACAGGCCCTGTGCCAGGAAAAGCCCATCCCCACTGAATCCACTGGGGAAAATTCCCTGAGAAGAGTTTGTTTATGTGAAAATATGAGCATAGCACTGTTGTCAGTAGGGCTTTCAGGGATCTGCTTTGCACGAGGGGTGCCTGGAGTTCACACAGCAATCCCCACCTGCCCTGAATTCTGTGATCAGTGACATCAATCTGCAATCAGTTTCTATCTGCAGCAATACCTTGGCTATTCCTACATTTGCATCTCTCAGGCATCTCTAGCATTGTTATAATTCTATTTAAAGGGTGGTGCAATGGTCTAACACAGGTTTTAGACAAGAAGAGCTCATCATCACCACTGGGCAAGGAAACTCCTTGTTCCCTCTGGGGGTGGTGTCTGCCTTGGCCTTTCTGTTTCACTCCTTTTGTGCTGCCCACGTTTGGAACGGGCAGCTGGCTCCAACCTGCACCAGGACAAACAAAAAGCAGCAGCAGGAAAACTCATCTCTCTCAGTGCTCAGGAACACCATTTCCCAAACTGGCATCCACAATTAACATCCCATAAAAACAGGATCCCAGCTGGACACACGGAGGAGGAGGAGGAGGGTGTAGGGCATAAGTAACACCCAGCTGAGGCTGTTGCATGGAGTGTTTTCTCTGTGAGCCCAGTTCATTAGAGAGAAAGCAGTGATTTAAACTACCTAGCTAACCTCTTCCAGAGCTGCAGTTTATAATCATAAATCAGGCATGTGACTACCTGGAGGCACTGGGAGTTTGCTGTTACACTGCCTTCCAGAGCTGGGAGGGAAGGAAAGTTCCTATTATTGGATCATGCAGTAGACATTGGTGCTCGAAATTTCCACTTACACTACATTAGCTCGAGGCAGTTCATTTGCTAAAATAAAAGAAACAAAGTGTAAAATATTCACTGACTTGCTCAACAAAGCAATCAATGAAAGGGAGAAAGAAGGAGAGAGAGAGGAGGGAGTGTGATCCCCCCTCCCTGCTATCACACTGTTGATAAATACCATTAATGTTTAAAATTACCTCCCCCATTCGATTCAAATTTAAAAGTATTAATGGCATTATCAGTCTGTCTATCCATCTCCCTTTATTTTGTCTGTCTCCTACTTCTATTTTGTGTGAAATTTCAAGAGATGAATCCCATTTTCTATTAATTCAATGGCTGTCACCTTGCATTGCATCACGTAACCCGGATCACAACAATGAAATCTAAGGGCTTAAATTAATAATATTGCAACACATCACTTTGTAAAGCGTCCTGCTCGTCCCTCTCCAGCCAGCTCAGGTGCTTTGCCCTCCAGGCTCCGCTTTCCCTGGCAGCTCTGGGTGGGATTGCACCTGTACAGATGCAAACAATCCATAATTGGTGACTGAATCCTCTGACTGGGTGCTGGATGGCGTTGCTTTAATAGGGTCTTGAGTTTTAACAAGATGTTTTTGCTTAAAAAATAAAATAGTTGGGGAAAAAAGCTTCGGGGAATATGAGATCTGTGTTCTGTGAGTGGCATTTTCCACACCTACAAATATATGCTGACAGGTAACTCTATTGCATTACAATTGCCTTACATACAATGTCAGCTAAAGCTACATGGGAAGTCAGCATCTTGGAGCATCTCTGCATCATGAAACAGCTGAGGGATCTGCTTAACTATTACAAGTTCAGCTGTAATTTCATTAGAGCCACTAATTCTCAAACAGGAAAGGCAAAAAAACAAAAAAAAAAAAAGAAAGCCAAGATTATGTGCAAGTAAATCATCAGAACCACTACAAATTCAGGAAGGAATAAAACATTCTGCCTAAAGGAAAATACACGAGATCAAAAATACACCCTCTCCAACACTCACTGCTGTTATTCAGGCATGTCTCCTGTTATGTTTTGTCATGTAGAAACAAACCCACTAGCAGGGATCTACACTTTCAGCCCCTATTTCCTAAAAGAAATGATAAAAAAAAGAAGTTTGACCAGGAGTTGTTCAGTGGCCAAGCTGAAGTGTCAGAAACAGATGTTGAGCTGGGAGTGCCCACCTTGTTCTCCCCTTCCCTCGGAGGAGCTGTAGGAATATTCATCAGGCTCCAAGCAGAGGAAGGCAGGCCTTGGTGAGCAGCTAGGATGGGATGAGAGGGGATTCATTAGCTGGCTGCTAATCGGCAAATAAGTTCCAGCCCAACCTGCTGAGTGTAAATGCAAATTCCCCACCTTTGGAGCCGCCTCACGGTACAGCTATTGATTTATGTTTGAATGGGAGTTCAAAAAAAAGAAGTTGTCTTTTGAAGCCTCGCTATCTGAGCACGGCTCCTTTGTCCAGGTGTCTTGGGGATCTCTCGCTGCAATTTTGATCTTTGTATTCCAAAAGCCTTGGAGAGTCAATTCAGGTAACTTAAAAGTGAGATAAAATCAGAAAGGATTTGGAAATAAAGTCTTTGCCTTGTCACATTAATGCGGCCCTATCAAGTGGCAGTTTATCAAGAGGCAGCTCACAAGGTTTTAATGAGCATGCTGCCTGTTCTTGTACAATACTAATTAATCCCATTTTTTCACACTGGTGTGATTGCTTCATGAAACCCGCATTGTTTTATGCTCAGCAGCAAAGCGGGCTCTCACTGATTAAATCTCCTTCCCGGAGCTGGAGCCTGACAACTGAATTATACCTTGCTCAAAATAATAATGGGTATCAGCTAATAAATACGGTTTAACACACACAAAACTATGCAGCCAAAATCACACCACAAAATAGGAGTTTGACTTATAGGCACAGCAGTGTTTCATTAAACATCTGTATTATAATTCACTGGTTTTCCAACTGATGTAATAACTTAATTGATGAGAACAAAGACAAGCTTATTTATTCACCCAATTGCTTGCTTCTTGACTAACGTTTTTCCTTGGCGTTATTGTGGAAATAAATATGCAATATTCTTTTTATAGAAGTCTAATTTAGGCCCTTTTTTTCCCCTATTGAGAAGTCAACATCACAATCTGTTTCTGACAAGTTCTTGCTGCAGTGAAGCAAACGGCATTATGATAAGACAGCAGCGTGTTGTTTACCCTAATGTTCAGACATTCCAGCAAAGGTGAGAGAGGTGTGATGCTTCAGGCAGTTAATAATGAATAATTGTCTGCAAATTTACATTACAGGGTTCAAAAAGCTTGTTTTCTCTCTTTTCCCTTCCCTGCTCTCCCACATGATTTAAAGCTGCTTCCACCTCAGCCAGGGAAGGGAGAACTGCAAAGTACTAATGAGAACAGCAGCACTTCTCTCTGCAAGACCAAATCAAATTAGGGATGTCACAGACATGAAATAATTTGGGCAAAATAAAGAATATTTCTTTCCCCAGCTGACAAATAGAACAATTTTTTTATTATTTTTTTTTTTTCCTCTTTTACGTGTGGCAGAATAAGATGGTCAAAACTTAAAGTCTCATTTTGCTTAAGAAGCTCTGAAAAGAGACTTTGCCACTTAGGAGCTCCTTCAAGAAGTGCTCCCTGCCGTCAATAAAGCAGAAAAGCCATCATTAACCTTGGATTTAATATAGATTTATATATGGAGCTCTGGATGCCCTGAGAGAAACTGTTTATTATTTATCACTCATTTGTAAGAGTACCAGCAAAGTATGAGGAATTCTACAGCTGGATCTAAAGAAATAAAGGGGAGGATTTTCAGGGGAGAAACAAAAGTCCCATCTCCAGCCTCTCCAGTACCCTTAGCTGAAATTTGCAGCTGCATTTAATGGGAAAAAAAGGAGTAGAAGTTTCAAAAATACATAATATTTATCCCTACCATCACCTTCTGAAATATTTACAGTCTGAGGAGTCTCTGTCAAGAGTTAGACCAATAGAAAAAACACTTCCAGAATAAAAATACTTTCCATTAATTGCTGTCATGTGAGTTTTTGCACTGGCCTTTGTTGTTATTAAAAATATCGGTAAAATTTGAGTTTCTATTGCTTTAGGAATTACTCTGGGCCCTTATGAAAAGAAAGTTCAAACAAGAAATTAGAAGGGGCCATTCAATTAGAAAGGATACACGAGAAGGGGCTATCAGATAAGCCTTGGACTAAGATAAAAATAAAATAAGTTTTAAAGTTGTGCTGCTCTTTGATAGAGTCACCAAAACAAGCAACAAGACAGCTTAGAAAATATGAGCAAAGGAAAATAAATCCCTGTATTTTCACTTATTCCAATTTCATTGCAGTTGCTTTAACATCAGCATTTAACTGAGGACTGGGAGTGGATCAGCATCTCCAGAGGGCTGGGAAGGGGACTGGGAGTGGATCAGCATCTCCAGAGGGCTGGGAATGGGACTGGGAGTGGCTCTCCAGGGCCAGGATTCCTGCCCTGTCCTTCCAGCAGGGAATGTGCCCCTCTCTCTCTCTCTGGCAAAGCAGAGAGCTCAGTCCAGCTCTGCCCAGCTCAGGGGGGATGGCAGAACTTGACAGAAGCAGAAGTTCCTGGGGAATCAGGCACTAAATCTATCCCACAAATATCATAACTCCCTGGCAGATCCAGCTATAATTAGATCATGACCTATGTCTGATATTAGAACTCAATTTGTAGAATTGATGCGCCACATGAAATAAAAAGAATTAAAGAGAATAATTAATTCCTATTAGGAAAAACAATATTAAACCATCTGCAACGATGACTTCTCCATGTGCAACCACACATACTGGCATAAAAATGCCCAAACAACTTATTTATACTTTAAAACATAAAAATACACGAAAGACTTTTGGGGCCCAGATGCAAACTATTTTTAAAAATTTGCTTGTAAGATCAGAATAATTTGAGCCTATCCCTATATAAAATAGCTACTACATTATTTTCTAATAATTCTGTTCAGAAAAAAAACAAACCCTTTCTCTTCTTCTAGAGAATCTAATTATTCAGTGACAGCAGTTGGCTGACTTGGGCACAACACAACATGTCAATTTTCAGTTGCTTACACAGTATCACAGAAACTGTTAGAAATTGTTTTGAAATCTGGCATACTTTGCAGTCATCCTAATTCCTCCAAGTGAGCCAAACCTGATTACATTTGGCTCACCCACAAAAGATCTGCAAGATGAGGAGAAGAACTCAAAAGATGAGGAAAGAGACTCTAAAAAACCAACAAGATTTCTTCCTCCCCGCTGCCTTCAGCTCTGCTTGGTGCAGCAGCAACTCCCCATCTGTGTGAAATGGGATGGATTGGAGCTTTCTGAAATAACCTCAAATTCCCAAACTTTTTTTTTTTTTTTTTTTTAAATTTTAGAAATGTTGATGTGGCAGCTACAGGAGGAGACTGTAATGCCTTGGAGGAATTTAAGAGGCTGAGGAGAGCTCATCACCATCTGCAGCTTCCTGGTGAGGGGCAGCTGCAATTTCTGCAGGGGTGATGCAGGGACAGGAGCCAGGGAAGGGCTGGAGCTGTGCCAGGGAGGGTTTTGATGGATTTTAGAGGGTGCTGGCACTGCCCAGCTCCCCAGGGAATGGTCCCAGCCCCGAGGCTGCCGGAGCTCCAGGAGAGTTTGGGCAGAGCTCCAGGGATGCCCAGGCTGGGGTTGGTCCCTGCAGCTCAGGGTATTTATGATGGAATAAACCCCTCCTGCAGGAGGCAGCTGCTGCTTCCACACTCACAAACTCTGCTCAAGTTCCCACCTGAAACCCCACGTGCAGCACCAGACCAAGCACAGCATCCTCACTCTGATCAGCTCTGGGATGTACTGGGGATAAACCAGTTCTGGAACAAACGTGGAATAAACCAGCTCTGGGATATTCTTGGGATAAACCAGCTCTGGAATAAACTTGGGATAAACCAGCTCTGGAACAAACATGGAATAAACCAGCTCTGGGATATTCTTGGGATAAACCAGCTCTGGGATATTCTTGGGATAAACCAGCTCTGGAACAACTTGGAATAAACCAGCTCTAGGATATTCTAGGGATAAGCCAGCTCTGGAAGGTAGCAAACACATGATGAGATCAGGTAAAGCATCCAGGTGAGAGCAGGAACTCCATGGCACAGGGAGGTGATGCTGAATTCCATCAGCTCAGCACCTCCAGCCCTCAGCCCTGCTCCTTCCAACTCTGCCTCCGATGCCAAACTCATTTGGTGGCTTTCCTCCTGGATTTAAGCAGAAGATGTTTATGTTTATGACAAAATACTCGCTGCCAAAAATACACAGCTCTGAGTGTAGAATCACAGACCAAACCTCCCCTTTCTAATATGAGATTTAAAAAAAAACCAACTTAGCTACAGTGCAAGGAAATTTAATTCAGTCTCTTTAAATTGCAACTCCAAGATTCTAAGTTTTTTTTTTTTTAATTGGATCCTTTGTTTGATAGACCAATGGAAAAAATGTGAGGGCCATTATTCAAATGTTTGTGGGCCCTTTTAGCTAATGGATTCCAATCTATAATTCTGCACTTGTCAACAAGATAGTTCTTCAATCATATTAAGACTGCATAACTCAGTTCTGTCCAAATCTTCCAGGACTCCACTCTACAAAGCAAATAACATTTCCCCAGGGAGGAAAGCACGTCCTCACAACATCCAGTTCTCAGGTCCTTTCCATGTTTCCCTGATTTATTTTGGAATGGAGACGGATTTCTTGTAGGTGTGGCCCCATTTCCAGAAAGCCAAGCCCCCCTGACACACACACACAGTGAAATATTCCCAGCAGTGAGACTTCAGGGCAGTTTTCTGTGTTCTCTGAAATAAGACAAGGTTTTTTTACACAAGGCTCTCAGAGGAGTCTGTGCCTCGTAAGCAGCTTATAAGGTAAATAGTTTAAAAGTTGACTCACATTTCTATCTCTGCAAAAGCTTGCCTCTCCCTTCCTGTGCTGTGTTATCAAATGAAGAGCTGAACCGACCAGGAGAGTTTTTCCTGAATTAAAAAGGCCCATTTTGACAGCAGGTTCAGAGCTGTGCTCTGCTCAGGGCAGGAGCTGTGTTTGGGGCTCCATGGTCCTGCACAAGATCCCACCCTCAGCATCCCTGGGGGACACCCCAGCTCCCCCTGGAGTTACACACACCCCACACCACGGAGAGCATCTGAAACTCAACGGGAAAAATATCTCCAGACTTTCTGCAATGTCTTCTGAGCCATCCCTCCTCTGGTCC